AAACCATTATGTTGATTGAATCAGAGCCAATAGGTACACTCATGAGCTATCTTGCTGTAATTTAATTTTCAATTTAGTTAGGACAGAACATCATTTACAACGCTATAGATAAGCTACAGCAAGGGCCTCATCTTAAAACTGCTATTTTAGGGGTTGTAAGTCCACTTAAAACTCGCTGTCTCCAAATAAAACATTGTTCTGATTCTGAAGACAGGACAAACCTTTCCACAGAAAATTTGGTGTAGGAAAAATAATGTGTCCTTTGCACTGCTTTAATAATAGGTGAATTTGAAGTACTTTGTGAAAGTCTGAGACTTCATACTAATTCTTATCATAAATTATTGACAAACACAAACCAAAAAATCTGTTAAAAAGAACTACCGTACGATGTTGCAGTCTTGTTAGCATTTAGCTTTACCTTGAAAGAACAGTCACAGCCATATTGTATAAACTGATTCACTCAAAGTAAGGGTGCTTAAAACCTGACACGAGAATTTAGTGGGTTTCACTATTCGCTCTGAAGAAATTGAAGTTGATTATTAAGATTAGAAGCAGAATAAATATATTAGAATACTTACATGCCAGAATGTGCCTTAGTGGGTTTTCTACCATTTAAACTTTATAATACGTAATACACTTTTTAACACTGTGTAATTTTTAAAGGATAACAATATATTTCTTGAAGTGATACAACTATGGTAACAGGAAAAAAAAAGTCTTATTTCTTTCTGCTTTCTCCTTTTCACCATTAATCACAGACTTGTTGAGATTGGAAGGGACCTCTGGAAATCGTCTAGTCCAACTCCCTTGTTCAAAACAAGGCCAACTAGAGCAGGTTGCTCAGGATGTGTCCAGTCAGGCTTTGAGTATGTCCAAGGATGGAGACTCCACAACATCCCTGGGCAACCTGTTCCAGCGTTTGATCACCCTCACATTAAAAATTTCTGTCTCATTTCCTGTAATTCAGTTTCTGCCCATTGCCTCTTCTCCTGTCACCAGGCACTACTGAGAATTATCTGCTCTCTCCACCCATCAGGTATTTACAGCCATTGGTAAGATCTCCTCTGAGCTTTCTCTCCTCCACACTGAACAGTCCCAGCTCTCTCAGCTTCTCCATGTCAGATTCTCCAATCTCTTAATCACCTTTGTGGCCCTTCACTGAGCTTGCTCCAGTATGTCCATGTCACTCTTTTGCTGGGGGGCCCAGGACTGGGCATAGCACTCCAGATGTGGTTTCAACCAGCACGGAGGACAGGGGAAGGATTGCTTACCTCAACTTGCTGGCCAACGCAGCATCTTTCACAGGCAGCCCAGGAGGCTGCTGGCTGCCTTTGCCGCATCCATCACTTTTCTAGGTGACTGAAGTGAGGCTGACTGGCCCGGAGTTCTCCAGACACATCTTCTTGCCCTTCTTGAAGATAGGATTGACATTTACTTCCTCCTAGTCCTCAGGAACCTTCCTCGATCACCATGACCTCTGAAAGATAATTGAGAGTGCCCTTACAGTGATATTTGCCACCTCCCTCAGCATTCATAGGTGCACCCTATCAGATCCCATAGATTTGTCTATGTCCACTTTGTTTAGATATTCCCTAAACTGATCCTCCTCCATCAAGGTTGTCTTCCTTGCTCCAGATTTTCTCACTGGACTCTGGGATCTGTGATTGCTGAGGTCAATCAGTTGATTGCCATTAAAAAAAAAAAAAAAAAAGTTATGAAGTCATGGAGTACTTTGGCCTCTTCTGTGACCATTGCCACCAAGCCCCTGCCCCATGTAGAGGGCCCCACCTTTGTCCTAATTTCCTTTGCCTGAAGCCTACAGTAACCCTTCTTGTTGCCCTTCATATCCCTTGCTAGTTTCAGCTCGATAGGCTTTGGCTTTCCTAATCTCATCCCTGCACACTTGGACAATGTTTCTATATTCCAGTAGGGGCAACTGTTCCTGTTGACCCCTCTTGTATGCTTCCTTTTTGTATTTAATTTTAGTCAGGGGTTCCTTGTTCATCTATGCAGGCTTTCTGCCACTCCTGCTTGACTTCCTGCTCATTGGGGTGGCCCATCCTTGAGCTTGGAGGAAGCAATCCTGGACAATCACCAGCTCTCCTGGACCCCTCTTCTCTCCTTGACCATATTCCATGGAATTTTTCCAAGTTCCTGAACAGGACAAAATCTGCTCTCCTGCAGTTCAGGGTTGTGATTCCCCTATTTGTTCCTTCCTCTCAGGATCCCGAACTCCACCATCCCATGGTCCTTGCAGGCAAAGCTGCCCCCAACCTTCACATACCTGACCAGTTCTCCCTTGTTTGTACCTACCCGGTCCAGCAAAGAGCCTCCCCTTGTCAGGTCCTCTACCAGCTGTGTCAGGAAGCTCCCAATGCTCTCCAGAAACTCCCTTGACTGCTTGCATCCTACTGAATTGCCCTTCCAGCAGACTGTGGGTTGGTTCAAGTCTCCCTATGAGACCAGGGCTTGCAAGCATAAGGCTTCTTCCAACTGCCTGAAGAACATCACACACTTCCTGATCAGGTCTGTAGCAGGTGCCCACCACAACATTGCCCACCTTGGTCTCCCTCTTTAACCTGAACTCATTAGCTCTCAGCTGACTAACCATCAGTCTGACGGCAAAACTTCATGCATTCCCCTTGCTCTCTCCCCTCCCTGCCGTCCCAGCCTGTGCTTCCTAAAGAGGCTGCATCCATCCGTTGCAGCACTCCAGCGATGTAAGCTATCCCACCACATCTCTGCGTTCCCAGTGACATCATAGCCCTGCAACTGCACGCAGCCCTTGAATTCCTTCCACAGCAAGCCAAGAATTGTTTTTAAAGTCTGTTATAATTAGCATCTTTAAAATAACACAGTAATACTGTTGCCCAAAAGAACAATCACACACACAAAAGAACTCCTTCAACAACAAAAAAGGAGGAAAGGAAGAAATGAATCTGTGCGGTTTATTGGTATTGAGGTATAGTTTCATTACAATTGGCTAAAAAACACTTTTTGTTTTTACTAAAATGAAACATACAAAAAAACATATAATAAAGCTGATTGGTCAGTTAGCTATAAATACAAAACAAGTTCACAAAGATGAAAAAAAAAAAAAGCAGCCTGTTTTGGACTTATAGCTACATACAACTTCATAATTACGGCCCAGTTCACTCAAGATCACAGTAATAGTTTTGTTTTCTGTACTATAACTGCTTTCTGCACAAGGATCCAACACAAGGGGTGTTCTTGGACTTATAAATTACCACAGGCAAAGGCACACGTGACTGACAAGATACAGGTCTCTTACTCTTCTTCACAGTAAGAACACTGTCTTCCTTTGGAGCAGGCACGAGCACAGGTTTCCAAGGAATGGGGTTACAATACGCTGGAGCTGGATACAAATTTCCACCTGCATACCCTAAAACATTTAGAAAATACAGATAACTAAAAAGGATACTTAGACTACAATCTTTACAATGCAAGCAGCTACAATAATCATCTGGACTAACACAGACACAATAGTGTCTTCAGAGGAAGACAGTTTGGGTATATCACATGATTTAAATGATTCCAAGTAATAAATCTTCCACTTTTTTTTTTTTTTTTTTTTTTTTTACCAATAACTGGCATACTCTTCACTTCTACTGAAAGTAATAAGCAGGTCGAATGCTGGAAATACTCAGAATGCTCAGTCCTTTGAAGACCTAAAAGCTGTATGTCTATGAACTGGCTACTTTGCGTTATTTCAAAGCATTTATAAATAAAATTTCCTGTCACCACATATACAAAGCTCACATATTTTTGCTTAACTGTTATTCTTTATTTTATTGAGAAGAAAAATACACTAATTATCCACATATACATTAATAATCTGCAATTAACAACCTAGGGCCCATAAAGCATTATCAGAAAACCTAAAATGCAACAGAAGGAACACGTTGGCCTATCAGTCATTTGTCTGAAGTGAAATTTCAGTGCAAACATCATGTGGCTGGGTAAAACAAAGTCCGTAATACATCCCATCGCATGAACAACACTGAGCATAAAATATTTTTCAAAAATCACTTAAACAAGTGATTGCAGCTGTGGGGAAGTTAATGAAGGTCCAAAAGAAAACACAAAGGCAAAGTGTATCATCATCTACAAACAGGTGTAAGCAAAAGAGCAAAGGTTGTTCACCTGCTTTATATATTTTCCTAAACATTCAGCATGGAATTTAGGTTCTAAAACATTTTCTGTTGTGAATTCAAATAATAACAATGATTTTAATTCTATGAAAAAATAAAGGCAAATATATATATATATATATAAAGAAAATTAAATTAAGCACTCAAACATAAAATGCAATATTATTTCTTACTGCTCTTCTGCTTTTCTACCACGTGGGATGACAAAAAACCCACAAAAAACCCACAAAAAACTCAGCGAGACTTACAAAACACCACGCTATCAACAGCATTCTCTTTAACACTTCCCTTTAAAACACAAAAGGAATAGTATTGCAGAAGGCAGGAAGGTGCGATGCGGGTTCAAAGCTAAAGGTAAAGGAAACCTTAGCTCAGAACACAGGCTGATTCCCAAGTCTCCTTTTCCAGACAGGACTTCTGTCAGCCTCCTCCTAATCTCTGCGTGGCAAACCCCACCTCTTTTCTAAGGGGGACTGAGGCACGATAAAGTGGCACACGCCTTCTGTAACACAAACGCTCACTTTACAGGCATGCCAACAGAACTGATTGCCTTCACAGGAGCCAGTAACTGGCTCTAGTGATTCCTATGCCTAGGGAAACGAGATCAAAGTCAGTTATAATTTGGGGTATCCCACATTCTTCTCTCAAATAATATAATCTTCCTCCCAAATAACATGAAGGGCTATGAAAAATGCACAAAGGCTCTCCAAGTAAAAGCTCATCTGACTTATACCATTTGAGATATTCATACCCATGTGTCCAACTTAGATACTGGATGAAAATCTTAAACATTGTACATTAAAAAATTAGAGGGAAGGAACCACAAACCTAAGTGACTACACATGTGTAGTAGAAGTACAAACCTGTAGAATTCCCACACGGGAAGCCATAACCATTCAAAACAGGGCGTGGTTTATTTCTAGCATTATGTAGCCATTCCTTAAAGACCTTCTCTGATCTTGCTTTCTTCTCCTGTAGCTCGGCTTCCCTTTCTTTTTCTTTTTCCTAAAAATAAAAATAAAATAATCTAGGATACTTATAGACAAAGCTCTGTACAACATACACAAAATCGTAAATAAATCTTTTGCAGATTTCCAGACTGATGAATATATTTCAAATACGTTTTCAAAACCAAATACATTTTCCTGACAATAAAGAAAAAAAATGCAAACTTCCTAAGTCAGCGGGTTGGGGATGGGGATATCAACCTCCACATTAATTCAGTGTTTCTCTGAGAAAAAGCTCTCAGAAACCTTTCAGAGGACTAGACGTAGACAATATTTTGAGCATAACGGGCAGACGACCAGGGCTGACTGTGCTGCAGTTAGCCTGAAAAGGCTACTGCATCGGGGGCAGCCAACCACCCTTCTCATTTGCCCGTAGTCGTACAGCCCTATATCAGCCATGACCAGCTTGCCTCCAAGCCTGCAGCAGGCCTGGGGAACTATTAATCAAAAGTAAGAGTAAAAATAGTATGTTTAGGTATGGCATCTGGATTTAAACTAAGTTTAACTGACACTGTGAACATGGCTTATAAGAACCTACGCCATGAAGACACGACTAAAAGAACACATGTGGTTGAAATCCGTCTGATGACTTTCATTTTCTTGGGTTTCAAGGTCCTTGTGCTGTGCATTTTTGAGGCTCAGCAGAGACACTGACTCAGTTTGTTAAGTAGGAAATAAACACCACCAGCACAGAATATTTCTATTTCAATTACATGGGAAACTTTGAGAGACTGCAAAATTAAGGTCATTAAGGCCTGAAAATTGATCTGATACATCTTACAGTATTGTAAAGTTATTCCAAATAAATGATTACATGTACTTGTGAAATACTTAGAAATATGTTCTGCACTTTAAGAACAACTGCTGTAATTACAGGGGGAATATAGATAAACTCTTCTCGCCACAATCCTCCCCCACTTAGCTACAACAGTAGTATAGTACTAGAATATTACATACTGTACTGAAAAATTACACTGTAATGTTAATTAAATTAAAATACAACCAATCAACTTCACACATAAGACATCTGCTCACACATTCCATAGTTTTCAGGCATAATCATTAGCAGTATGTGATATTCCACAGGAATTCTGGAGGATTCCTGCAAGCGTAGCCTTGTTAGAGCATTTGTTCTAGTGAACTAGAGAACCTCAAAGCCTGTACTTTAGGGAGCTTACAAGTAAGATGTCTTCTGAAGCTCATTATAAAAATATATAGGTGACTAATTAATATGAAATAACATCAAAATTAGAACTCCTAGCGTCAGATTGGTACAGATGGATATGAAGAAAAATGCTTTTAACTAGAAATATGGGCACGTATAATAGTGGTTCTGGGAGAAAAACGCCCCAGAATGCCGCCTATTTTCTGCCTGGGTCACCCCGCAAAGGCCCCAGTAACAAAGGCACACTGTGCCATTGGCATTTCT